ACGGTAGAATGGAAAAAGGGGTAGTAATTTAAATTAGTTATCGTGCTAAAGAAATATTTTAGCCCCTATTGAGTTTCATTTAACTCAAATAGATAGGTTAAAATTAACTTTTCCAATTGAGTCAAAATAGAATTTGAGTGAGATTTCTGGTGTTTTTTTTATTAATCAATCATGGGATATATAAGCTTCATCTGCTTTTTTATCTTATTCTATCAGAGTTTTCTCCTTTTAACTCGCAATTTAAACATATCTATGATATCTAAGTCAATATAGTAAGTAGGTAACATGATAATAGCAAAAGTGGGAGGATTGGAGGTTTGTGAAGTGTGTCAGCCATGGGCCATGTTCGACCCTAGAACCATATTTTCTCCATCCAAAATCTAACCATTTTCTCCTGAATGTTCTTGTTATGTCCTTGTTAAATAGGTCTTGTGGATCCCAACTTTGTCCAAGGCAGGTTGTGAAGATAACCAGCAGGATCACATGAATACGTTAGCTTCGACTCTCTCATGTTGGGGGGGAACAAAACTGATAAGATGGTCACTTCATGAGTGAGATGGGTAGTGCAATGACATTATTTTTCAGTATTATGCTAAAAAAATTATAACCGTTCATTTTTTTTATTTGATTTGAATTCGAGCGAGATAAAGGATACAATTATTTTGATTAGGAGCCAAAACCTAAAAGTTGGAAACAGTCTCCAACACATGCAATCCATGACCAAAGGAACTGATCACATCATGTTTCCCATGCACTTAAACATGTATCTGGCATAGATTTTATGCTTCTGCATGGACAGTATGCAAGATTTTACAAGTCAGTGTGCTTGGGTTTTGTTCTTATTCCGTAAAATAAATAAGTAAATAAAGCCCTAAAAAAAAGAATCATAAAGAGATAGAAAAAACTACACAAGAGATCAAAATCTACCTTAGGGAATAATTGATCTCTTGGCCTTTCAGTTGGGATAGTCAAATGTAACCAACAAAAGTTACATTTTCCCCAATTTCTTTAATTCATTTTTTTTTTGTCCCTTGTAGGAAAGGTGCATTACTATTAGGATGTAGTAAAAAAGAAACCCAACAGAAAACCAGAATACAATCCTCCAAAGTAATTAAGGATAAAGAAGAGCATCAAACAACTCAGAAGAAAATAGTAAGTGCTATTTCCAGAGTATCAATATCATTGTCTGTCACCAAACTACATCCATGCCATGCTTATTGTTTCTTTGGTTAGAATGTTCAACTAGAAAATGCACCCTCTAACATCATATTATATTCCGTAAAGTGGATTTATCCCAGTTGTTCAGTAAGTGCCTAGGCACTACTCGAAATCGAGTCTCACCAACTCCCTTTACCATGAGGATTAAATAGATCCATTGTGTACATAACAAAAAAAAAAAAAAAAAAAANACTCGAAATCGAGTCTCACCAACTCCCTTTACCATGAGGATTAAATAGATCCATTGTGTACATAAAAAAAAAAAAAAAAAAAAAGAGAGAGAGAGAGAGAGAGATTATGTTCAGCATCCTTAAATGCAAATTCAACCCTTTATAGCTAAAGGAGTAAAATTTATATACATGCACCAGCTGGTTATGATTTTGGTTAGATATCTCAAAAACTAAACTTATTGAATGGTGGGTCATCATGTTTTGGTTTAGATAAGGTCATATATTGTCATGTTATGAAACTAACGTGTTTCATAAAGATAAATGTGGTACAAAATCTTGTGTACGATCTTGGTAGCTGGAACTCCAACTTAAATTGGCCACTAATTGCTTTGGATATGGTTCTAAATAGTGGGATCATTGCCAGCAATAGTCGGCCTCGTGACCTAATTTGCTGAGAAAATATTCTTTATAACGGTAATATTATGTCAGTATTATCATGTAGTATTATCAATCAATAATGTATAGACAAATAAAAAAATGAATCCCACACAAATCAATAACTACTCAGTCTTTTTCCATATAAGTCAATAACTCCCCACGTCGCATTAAATATTTATTCCTAATTTGCTTATGATTATGGTCTTTCCTTCGCTAACAAACTGGTCAAATTTTTTTAGGATTAAATGGACTCCTGACTATTACGCAAATTTGAGATGTGTGCATCAATGCTTTACTTATATGTATCTTGTCAAGCAACGTGTTTTTTGTGAGATTTAAACTTCTAATTTCATAGTATCAACCATTGAGGTTCTATCATTTGAATTATCATGATGGATTCTGCAATGTTAAATTTAGGGATTTCCAAACCTGTCGTGCCCTTTGTGAATGCAGTTTGTGATTTATCAACAAGTTGAGGCAGTGCAAATTGTAATCTCTTTTCTATTGTTTTGAGAAAAACTTGTATAGTGCATTACAACATCCTATTGGGCTGTAAATGAATGAGAACAGTTGGATTAAGAACCTTTGGTATGACACAAGTTGTTACTATGGTCTTGCTGCTGCATTTGCCACCACATAATGCTGCATAGTTTTTTTCCCCTTTCGATGACAAAGAACCCTAATATGTAGTTGGGCCGGGTAGGAAAAACTTTGTGTGCATACAGTGACTCAATATTTATGCATTAATGGTCATTGAATTGACAATAATTTTTATTTAATTAGAACCTCCTACTAATTCAATAATTGCAGTGCATTATGTATTTAAATTAGGTCTAATAACATTCCGCTTACTTAAAAGATCATCTGAGGTGCTTGTCCAATGTCAATCAATAACTTTCAAGGAACATAATGGAATTCTTCCATATTGTTTGCAGTTCCTAATCACTTGTCTTGGTTCAAAGAGATGGTGAATTAAGTTCACATCTCACATGGCACCCTCATGTTGGGTCTGGCCAAGCCAATCTCATGGCAATTATATAAGATATCCAAAACCAAAATGATGAATAATGTTTGCCGAACTGCTACTGAAAAGCTAAGCCAGTAACTGGTACCATAGAAGTCTGGGACCATGGCCCCAAACCCAGCCTCAAGGTGGCTCCGCCACCGTCAAGAGTTGCAAGTTGCAACACACAATCCAAACTAAGCACTGCTGACCTGAACCCCACCAACATGCCTACTAGATGATGGTTTTATATGTGTCTTGTCATGTTACCCGAAGAAACAGTACAGCAGGTAAGTCTGCTTAAATTTCACCCTCCTTAGATTTTGCAGTGACTGAGAGTCTCCAACACTGAGCCACCTTTGTTATCTCATCAAGTTCCCAATTTCCATTTCTCAGCACAAAGTTAGGCCTACCACCACCGATTTGATCATTCAATCAGACAGCAGTAACTGAAGTAGACCTCCTCACCATGCAAAATAATATCAACCCTTTTCTCTCTTTTATCTTCCTCGAAGTATCCATCAAGCTTCATATATATTGTAAGTATACAGAAGATAAGCTTTTGCTACAGGTAGTCGTGGCGTCTCATTAACCGGTCATATCTATTTTCAAACTAAAGGGAATTTGTACCTGAAGATACGGTGTAATGAATGATTTTGAGAGGAATGTTAATAGCCGTCGGATGAATCTATTTAAAACGATTAGATGAACTTATTGAAATCTATCATGTTTTAAATTGTAGAAGAGTAGTTATTTCTCGTGTCTGAAGGTATAGAGTAATAAAAAAAAAGATCAACAATAAACATATTTATATTTATACAAAAAATTAAATCACAAATATATAAGAGATAGAAAGGAATTTAAGCATCCATTATAGTTGGGATGAGTGGTGATGGTGGTGGTGGAAGACGATGGATGTTTCTGAGCAACAGTATAATGGGTGATAGCGAACGACGATGATGGTGGTGATGGTAGGTGTGGGCAATGACAGGAGATGGTGGTAGTGGGGGTAAGTATGGTGTGGGTGAGTGATAGTGGTTAGCAACAATGGTAGACGACAACGACTAGTGATGGGTTATGGTAGTGGGCAACAATGGGGGTGGTGGGTGCTAAGGATGGGCGACAATGGTAGTGGAATGATGGTGGTAATGATAATAAATATAAGAATGAGATGACGATGTTAGTGAATGGTGGCAATAGATGATAGTGATAGCAATCGGTAGTGGGTGGCAACGATGGCGGTGGTGGTGGTAGTGGTGATGGTTGGGAGGTGGTAATGGTAGGGGTGATGGTAAGACAATAGTGGTGGTGGTAGGAGTGGCAACGATTATGATGGTGGTGGTGGAGGGGGGTGGCAGTAATGGTGGTAGCGACGACGATGGTGGTGGTGGGGCGACGATGATGGTCATTCTTGTGGTAGAAATGGTGATGGGGTGATAACGACAATGGTGTTGCTGATGGTGGTGGGGACAATGATGATAGGGTGGCAACGACAATGGTGGTAATGGAGGGGTGGCAATGATGATTGTTGTGGCAGAGGTGGTGATGGGGTGACAGTAGTGGTGATGGTGGTGGGGCGGTGGTGGTGGTTGAGCAGTTTCAAATATTATTTTTTTTAAAGTACTTATAAGAAGTTATAAGTTCTATAAATACTATTAAAAAGTTACCTCAAACACACTATTTGAAGTCTATTTTTTCTATTAAATTTGGGGAATTAATATTAGCCGTCAGATTAACTTTAAATAAAAATTTAAAGAGATCTCAACCACGAAAAAGCAAAAGTCATCTTGTTTATCTTTTAAAATTTGAATTGTATTATACTTTATTTTATAGATATCCATCTATTTTATGTATAGTGTGATTAAAAAATATATTTTTTTAAGGTCTAAATTGCAACTCAAAAATTCATAATCAATCATGAAATATTGTGATTGATCATTAAATATAATTTTTAAACATAAAAATATATTTTTAAACATAAAAATATATTTTTGATTAGTGAAATTATAATTATGTGAGGTTATTAAGATTGATTATGACATTTCATGGTCGGCCACTGCTGCCAAAATATGAAAAAAATAGCTCACATAAAATAACTAGAACAAGGTCAACATTACCACAGCTCTCATTTTATTCACCCATTTCTTTGTACTCTTTGTATAGATGTACCCATGTATAACTATATAAACAGGTTAAGAAACCACAGAAATGGCTCTGCTCAAGGATCTTCCAACAATTTTCAAAAGCCTTTATTTGGAGGCATGAAGTCTGTTGTCCCATGCAAGGTTGCCCTTCTGGTTGCTATTTTCTTGCTCTTCTCCATGTCTGCTGTGATTGAAGGTAAATTCATAATATTCTGATAGATTTGATTATAGTTTATCATATTGCATATTTATATTTAAGCCTTGGAGAATCGGAAATTACACTATCACCTCCATTGCTCAAAATGTTATACGGTTTTGATCTAACAGCCCGAAGTACAATGACAGACAGTCATGGAGTTGATGCTTCTCGGTTGAGTCGGGACAATCTTTGTGCAATGAAAGAAGATGGTTGCTTCGAAGAAGAGGATTCAACAGTGATAGACTATACGCCAGTTCGGAAGAAAAAACCTATTCATAATTAATGGTTGCAAACACTTCCATATTTTCAACTTCCATGGTATCTTTATTCTTTAGGGATCCTTATTCTCCTTGTGTATGGTAAGTTTCACATATATATGTTTTCTGACGCAAGTTTTGTCCATTGTCCGAAATTACAAAGTTATTGGGGACATAAACTTTGTTACATCTATGGTAATGGTTTACTTTTTTGTGTGAGGGATCTCCTTAACTTTGGTACCGTTTAATAGTACATTTTTAAGTATTACATACAGAGATATATAATCTATACACTAAGATTAACATGTAGCAGTTGTATTGTATAGTGATCCAATGTATTTTTATTACTTATGACAAACTTATATTTCTACCTAAAATAAAATGTTAACGCACGAATAATTGAGAGAGAGAGAGAGAGAGAGAGACTATTTTTCTATATCATTTGCCATTTGACGTGACATGAAATAACTTCTAGACCAAAAAAGGAAATTAAATAAAATTTTCTTCAAAATTTCATTTGTGGATGCTTCCAATTAGAAAAGTTTTCCCCATTTTTAGAAATCTAAATTTTAATAATCTCCACTAGAACAAGCATACTGTTTCAGAAAACAAAGGATTGGGGAAGATTTGATCATGAGTACTTATGATCAAAGCAACTTTACATGTAATTAAGGTCGGACCCTGATTTTGTTGATGTAAGATTATCCCAAACTTGGCTCGGATGCACAAATTGCACCCAATATCATCTACGATTCTAATTTCAGTTCGTCTCAAACTCAAACACCATTGAGTAAAAGAAGTCACACACAACATTCACAAATGAAAGTCATGAAGAGTTATCAATCAACCAGTGCAGTGGATGATCTAATAATTGGTATTGTATAGGAGACTAGCACTGTCTGATGAAAACTTGGGTGTGATATTGTGACATTCAGTGAAAGCCATTGATAGTGTACATAAAGTGTACTAATTGGTTGTATGAAATGAAATCCATGGCCGTAACGGTGTTTGAGGATTAGAAGATCTTTCCAATGGTTTTAGAGCAGTGGCTAGTAATGGGTATTCAAGAACAAAAGGGTAAAAGATAAAAATGAGTGTTATTAAGGCTAAACTGGTTGCAATGCAAGGCACTCGGACATATGGAGTAAATTATACTAAGACCTTCTCACCTATTTCTTTTAAGGACTTATTTAAAAATCGTCTTTGAAAGAACTTTATGACTTAGAGCTTCGTCAAATGGATGTCTAAACAACTATTCTGAATGAAAACTTAGTGCGGAGGTGTGTTACATGGTTGGTTTTGTAGGTTGATGACAAACTATTAGCTATTAATGATTAACTTAGAACTACTCATATTCCCATGGCATATGGACTTCTATCCTGTATTGCAGTCAAATCCAGTGGACACCTACTGTTTCGCCCTCTTTCATTAATTGGGCAGCCCTCCATTGGAAGGGGAAATCAATGAACACGGTGATTTTGAATCTAAGTCTTTCGATTACTATGTATCATATATCTGGATGGAGAGGAACCTCAGAGTGCTGCAATTATGGGACCTACCACACAGCGGCTTGATATAATCTTTTCACTGTATTCTGCTTGTATTTTGTTTCATTTTGGTAACTCAGGACAAGGATTTCATGGGAAGTAGCGACTATGCTCTATACTTCCTGCTGAATTCTATTCCTAGTTCTTTCTTTTTTTGTTTTTGATGGACAACACTTAGATTCTTCTTCCTTTTGCTCTTGTAAAGCATCTTTATCAATAAACTTTACTTTTCGGATATGTAGGATCTTGGGGAAGCCGCTTATGTCCTTGATACAGAGATTCATAGAAATAGATCCCGGCCGACTTATGCTGAGGTTATTTCAGAGAGTTTACATTGATTGTGTCCTCAGTAGATTTAATATGCAGAATACTAAATCTGGCATTGCACCCACGAGTAAGGGACATAAGCTAAGTAATAAAGTTCATGGTCCTATGCTATTGGGACCTCCTATTCTGATTTGATGGTATGCTAGATGACATAATCCGATTGCATTATTGTAATGATATCGTTGAACTTTTTTATCGGAATGAAATCAACAAACACATTGAGAGGTTAGGATATTAGGTTAACTTATTAAAATTCAATAACAATTTTATTGTAATTTAATTGGGAGCTGGGAATATGATGGGTTTTACTTAAGATCTTTGCGGTGACTGTCCAAATCAATCAATATCTTTCAAAAAACCAAATGGACCTATCTTCTACTTCCATAGATACTGTATGCATTTCTTAATCACTTGTCTTTGTTCAATTAAAGTTCTCATCTCCCATGTGTCACCCTCATTTGGGTCTGCCTGTCTGGCTGACCATACGCCAATCTATTGGCAACTGAGATGTATATATCTTAACCCAAAGTGATGAATAATGTTTTGGCAAAACTGTCAATTATAAGCTAATCCTGGAATTAGCTAGTACCACAGAACCTAGAACCATGGCCCCAGCCACCAGGTCTTTGGGCGGCTCCGCCACTGATGACGGCCACCGGTGGCAGCACAGTCCAAAATAATGACTAATTAACCACCATGCATTTGATCTTTCAATCATGTAGAGCAGAAGTAAAAGTAACTGAATTAAGCTCCGTTCAAAATGATATCAACTGACGGGACTTTTCTGAAATACTCCATGATGAAGACACGTGTCCTCGATTTTTACCAAAACACTGTTGCTAAGATCAAGCACCATCGGCGCATAAAGGTCCTCGCCCCCGAGGTACTCGTCATATAGGATCATGGCATTTCACTACGAGTTACAACCAACACGTAACCTCGGTCTGATATGGTACCTCGGTCAATATACCTCCCTCGGTTCCGAGATAAGCCTTTCCTCGGTCCCGAGAGGTACCCCGTCCTGGATGCTTCCTCTACTCCAGGATAAGCTATTGACGTACAGGTCATTAGCCTAGGCTACTCTAGGCTATTCATCATGATCTCGTCTTACACAATTAGTGTCAGAACGTACTGGAATGCAAGGGCCACAACCAATGGGGGATGGACGCGTGGCGTATGATATCACATTGAAGACAGAGAAACCGCATGTCGTTGCTGACACGCGACTTGGGAAAGCAAACAATTAATTACATCATTCCCTTGATGAGACCGCATTCAATACGGTAAGGCTCGGAAATGAAAGGCAATAAATGCTCCTAATACAGAGCATTTATTGCATCCTCCCCGAGAGGAGTACATTATACCGTCGGCATCCCGATGACCCAGCATTGATTGCTCGGGACCCCGAGCAGTTAAGAAAAGAAGACATTCCTCATCAAAATCAGTGCGCACATTGCCTGTACCTAATGATCACCTACTGACTACACTGACAGCAATCATGAGCTTTTGAGGTATAAATACTCCTTGCAAAAGGCAAGACGGGTATGCAACAAAAAACTCTTTACTACAATACACACTCAGTGTTTTCTCCTTCCTCTCTCTTTCTCAAAGACTGACTAGATCGTCGGAGGGGATACGCCGGAAAACACTCCGGCGCCCTTCTAACTTGTTCTTCTTTGTTCCAGGAACCTCTTTCAGCACTACTGGATCGTTCTTCCGCTCCCCCAGGGTCTCCCGTTGCCGTTCCAGGTTACCACCGGACCTCGCAGGCTGTTCCAAGCAGCGTGGTTGGTCACTCAACTGGCTCACTCGAGTTCACCAAGGGAGAGATCTGTTCTCGTTTTTTATATTGTGCAGGATCTTGCACGCACAATCTGGCGCCGTCTGTGGAAAACGACTAGTTTTCCTAGTTTTTTCTCTATAAAGAACAGTGACCATGGTGAACACTCGACAGAAAGGGAAAGGACCCCACCAAAGGAGTCTCGAGTTACAAGCTCCCTGTCATCACGGAGGGAGGGATCACACCAACACGAATAAAAGTGCCTCTACTCGGTCAAGAGGGGTTACCCCTCAAACCAGTATGGGAATCAGGTCAGGGGGATCAGCCCCCTTGGCTCGTCAGCTGGCAGAGGTGATTGAAGAAAAGTTCGGCAATAGATTACGACAGCTGGAAAAGGACAATGTAAACGTCCTGAGCCGGCTCAACGAGTTTGCCGCCTCTGGCGAAGGATCGAGGGATTCATTCCTTTCTCGTGGGCTTCCCGCCCGGGAGGCGGAAACGAAGGATCTAAGAAACCACCTAAACAACAAAGCAGAAAGCTCTAGGGCCCCAAAGCGACCCAGAGCCGGCGAGCATCATCATGACAACCATTCAAGGAAAGCAAGGTCATTGGCCCTAGACGACCTCCGGCGAGGTTTGTCTAGACGAAGGAAAGGAGATGAATCCGAGGAGGACTCAACCCAATCCACACAACGCCCAGGAAATGAGGGGCTTACCGATGAACTCAAGGACTTCAGAAGGCATCCCGTCAGGGAAGAAATTGATCTCAAAGCCCGGTTAGACTCCAGGAGAAAGGGTAAGGCTGTCCAGGATGAGGCCGAGGACGAAGTCATACAAACACCCTTTACGAGGGAGATCGATGAGATGGAGGTTTCAAGAAAATTTGTCGTGTCGCGATTCAAAACTTATGACGGGCAGTCNTTAGTGAGATGGAGGTTTCAAGAAAGTTTGTCATGCCGCGGTTCAAAACTTATGATGGGCGGTCCGATCCCGAAGCCCATGTCAGGCAATACAAGCAGATGATGTCCCTCTATCATTCGGACCAACGGTTTCTCTGCCGAGTGTTTCCTATGAGCTTGGGGGACTCTGCGATGAAGTGGTTCGAGGCGCTTCCCCCCAACAG